GTGTGTGTGTGTGTGTGTGTGTGTGTGTGTGAGTGAGTGTTTGTGGATATGCTCGGGATATTCTTCAGTGAATTACTGATGTGAGACGTCTGACACACACAGAAGGTATTCGGCTGCTTTAGCTGATAGATAACGTGAGCGTGCAGAAGTTGGCTTTGAACCCTTTTAACCTTTATTTATTTTATTTAGTTCTCCTCTCACAGCACTGTTATGAAGCTGTGTTTCCTCCAAACGCTGCCTTGAGCCAATCACGTGCAGCAGATCAAGCAGCCGCTCGCGCTGTAACTATTTGAACCGTTTGTTTTTTTTCTCTACGCAAACATCTGCAACCAATTAGACTGCTTCAAATGCGGCTCAGGACAAGAACAGGAAAAACAGAGGTGGCAGACATCGCTGAAAATCAAAGTCATGCTTAAAATCAATGTCATCCATACAGTATGAAATAAGGAATGTCTTCAATCTGAAGGCTTCAGTGTTTTTTAGCATTTACAGAAGTTTGGTTCTTGTTCTTTGGTTCACGCACTTCAAAGTTTTTCAGAATTCTACATACCGTTTTCATTCTGTTTCTCTGAATCTTTTGATTGCAGGGTTTGTGTTGAATGTTTTCAGACTCCTTCTCATCCGCTGAGACTGAGCAATAGCAACACCTCTCCACCTAAACATGTGCAAGCCATTACAGCTCACGGACTCATTTAGTCCTTTGTCAAGGCACTGGATCTGCATGCACTGGACTCGCTCCACTTTTTGTCGTGTTTGATGTCTTGTTGTTGGGTTTGCAGAGCCGATGGTGTGGCCCGGCCGGTTCCTCACATCTGTTGAGAGCGATCCAGCCTCACGTGCTTCGCTTCTGACTGCAGACATGCGTGTATCTGCCGGACTCATGCTATGCCCACATGCTTTTCATGTCGTTTAAAGCCATCTGGCACTTTCATGTCATTATGAACGTTCAGAACATATTCTGACTTTATTCATCAGATCACACTGAGTCCAGGGAGAAATGCTGATCGTAATGGAGAACAACTGAAGTAATCCGTAGTAAATATCTTCATGCTATCGTAAATTCCTCTGCTGTTTAATTAATGACTCCCATATGTCTTCATGAAGCCTGTTTATTCTTATCAGGTGTATTAAAACGAGCCTTTTGAAATCTTTACTAAACTTTCAATCAAAAACCTTTATTTATAAAAAAGAACTCTTTCATTTGAAGCATTTAATTTGTAAACGCAATTTCGGAAATCTAAAATCTTTTTGTTTGTTTTTTTCTTTTTCTTTTTTCTAGTTGAATGCAAGCGCTTTTATTACAAACGATGTTATCAACATAACAATTTGAGTTAACAATGGAATTGAAAAATGAAGATGAATGTCTCAGTGTTTGGTTTGCATGAACTCCACGAGTTTGTGTGAAACCTGATGATCATGTTCTCCAGCGTGATGTGAGATGATCCAAAAACATCTTGTGCTTCAGCGGAAGAACATCTGAGCTTTTGAATAAAGGAGTTTCAGATCATCACTTTTCACACATTTTTCACAAACACGTTTTTTTTGGAAGTGTGCTGCTTAGTAAATTTACTGCAGTTGCTTTTGAGTTTTTTAATGCATCTTGAAAGAATTCCCATTATTTTTTGTCAAATCAGTAACTGACATTTGCTTGGTTTGTTTATCTTCCAATGCTCTGCTTTTTGAGTTTTTTTTCTGGTTTTGTCTCCAGTTTTAAAAACCGTTGCATGCTGTAAAAAACACTTACTGACCACAAACTGGACATTTGCAAGCTCCTCGTCAAACGTCCTTCTTGACAAACTCATGATCATGTTGGCGTTGTTTTGTGCATTATACAATGCAGTGGTTTCTGGAAGTGATTCTGAACGCTCTTTTACAGACGAATCACCCAGCTGGCTGACCGCTCCGAGAGAAAGTCACACGCCTGACAAATACTTGCTCAAAAAGCTGTTCAGCTGTGGCTTCATACCAGCCAAAATGATGAAAGTGTTGAATATTTTACATTTCATCCTCCTGTTTTCCCCCTTGGTCAGTCCGTTCTTGTTGATGTCAAATTGCTGGATTATTAATGCACAGGAAGTGACCTTTGACCGGCGGGCATTATTCTCTCTGGGCCTGACACGCAGGAATGCAGGAGCCGGCAGAAAAACACAGAGCAGGATCAGCCGCCATTCAACATTGTACGGCTCAGGGCAAAGGGTGACACAGGACGGCAAAAGTGCTATAGAAACGGCTCTCGTAAATAGACTGCGTGACCGAATACAGAACAAATGATTCTTACGAGCTGGTTCTTTTTAGTGAATCAAAAACATTTAGCGTGACCAGTGCAGTCTGATTCTCAAACGAACCGCTTGAATGACTCTCTATTGAATCATCCATACAGTGAATCAAACTCATGGAGCGCAACTAGTGCAGTTAGATTACAGAATGAATGATTCTAAATGACTTGGATCTTTTTAGTGAATCGAAAACATATAGCATGACCAGTTTAGTCCAATTCTCAAACAAATGGATCTAATGAGTCGGTCCTTTTTAGTGAATCAAACACGTAGAGCACAACCAGTGTATTTCGATTACAGAACGAATGACTCTAAAGATTTGGTTCTTTTAAGTGAATCAAACGGATATAACAGCGCATATAGTTTGATCACAAAATGAACAACTCTAATTAGTTGGTTCATTTTAGTGAATCAAAAACGTGACCAGTGTTTTTTTTTTCGATTACAGAACGAATGACTCTAAAGATTTGGTTCTTTTAAGTGAATCAAATACATAGAGTACAACCAGTGTAGTTCAGTTACAGAACTAATGACAAGATTTGGTTCTTTTAAATGAATTGAACACATAAAGCTCAACCAGTATATGTTGATTACAAAACAAACAACTCTAATGAGCTGGTTCTTTTCAGTGACTCATACACAACTAACTGTGAAATATGAATCAGTGTAATAACTGCTTGTGCATTTTGTCAGTAGCATTTTATAAATATTAATGAATGAAATGTTATGTTTGGCACTGATGCTTAACATACAAGGTCAGTTATTAGATTGTATTTATGCCACCTCTAAAAATTCTACACACGCTCTGCGAGAATTTTTTTACGTTTATTTATTATTGAAACCGTCTCATAGTTTCATTAAAAGTTCTCAAAGAATCATTAGTGAAACAGGAATCGTTGGATTCTTTCTCATTCTCTTCCCTGTTGTATTTTGGTGGAGGCATTTATCTAAAGTTACTCACATTCACTTTCGTTGTATTTCTTTAAAAGTCTGCACCCCAAAAGCTCTGGATGTCTGAGGAAACGTCATTGTTTTTAAGGAAGTTCAGATTTATATCTTTATTTTCTCTCATGCTTTCCCTGTGAATCCGATCATAACCTGGTGCCGTTGATCTCATCACACTGAGCTTCTGTGTCAGAAATGAGCTGTTGAATGCAATGGAAGCCCAATCGTTGTGGTTACATAATTTAATATAAGCTCATAACATTTGTCCAGTGGGATTGTAATGGTGCTACTTGAACGCAACGCTAATGTGCTGTTTAGTCTCCATACGAGTGAAGGGAGGCACTGTTCACAAGCTATTTGGCAAAGGAAAAGAAATGAATAATTCACATGCTCAACCACATGCATTCCATATTTTCAACATGAATAATTTAGATTCTTTACTTTAAAAGCTTCAGTGAAGGACTTTATTTCATCAGGAATGCACACAGTTTTCTGTACGGAGGGATGCAGTATTCTAGCCTGTACATACTTTTTTTTTATAACAATAATAACAAATGACAACTTATAACTTTTGCATAATTTATCGTTCAAAAGTTTGGGGTCAGGAATATTTTTTTGAAAGAAATTAATACTTTTATTCAATGAGG